TGCGGGTTCGAATACCTCCACCGTAACCCTGCGAGTCATAGAAGGCGACGAAAAGGGAACCCAGTGCCTGGGGGTATAACTGGGCCACCCTGTGCCTGGGTGGCATAAATACACGGACCTTGCCCTCCTTACATGTTTCGGCAACTGACGGCTATCAAAAAGAAAATCAACATTATGTAGGAAACATTTCACATATGTGATTAATAGTGATTTATAATGTTGGATGCATGGATTTTATTGATTCCTGTAACGTAACCCGTTTGTATATGTTGTGAGAAGTTCGGTGGCCTTACGTGGTAGTGTTTGGGCTTCTAACAGACCATCAAAAATTACCTGATACCCAACAATTGTAGATACGTTCTTTTGTTTAATTTTTATTCCTCCAATTGTACTCCGCCATTCAGTAATGGCGTTTTCTTAAACAATGTTGTTGAATAGGTTCGCTTTTTTTCTATATACCTCGATTTGATTCTGATTTCGCTAACGGCTATTTGTGGCGGACAAAGTGGCGCTGGGGCGGGTTTTCTCAAAGTACTTCGGTTTCCCCTGCCAATCTTCATTCCACCAAATTCTCCTTCATCATAGTCACCCGGGGCAGGTACAACAGGCCAATCAGTGGCCGTCGTGCCGAGTGGATCCAGCTGGATTCCACCCCTCACTAAGAGAATTAAAAAAAAAAATATTAATGACGAATAACTGGATGTATATAGGAGACCGAGGATCTGTTTCTGCATAGTGCATATAGTGCATAGTGGGATATTGAACCAGCGAGGGTTAAGAGGAAAGAAAGGCAAGCCCATTTTGGAATATGGGGGCACATTGTTCGAGGAACAGAAGCGTGTGTCTTGTCATGTTTATACATAAATGATACCAATTCCCTGGGTGATGGTTTCTTTGAACCAACGTCGTTTGAAATATTGAACGAATGTCGTGGGTACATCCCGAACCGAAAAGTTTCTTTTTACCATTCAATCAGATGGTCTACGAATCGGCTATCCCTCCATGTGGGAGCGTGACTTATGACACAGTCCAAGCCAAGGCAATGTCTGTTAACATCTGGTCATCATTTAAATGCCATCTTAAAAGCTTGGAGTATATGTATAGAAGGAATCGAGTCCCAGAGCCTTTCTTGACGCCGTGGAATACTGAAAAATATCGCGCAGCTCGCAGTTCGGCACTATATTGACTGATTGCTTATCACGTTTTCTTAATCTTGATAATAATTGATGTATTTCATGAACTAAAGCATAATTGAGATAGGATGAAACAATACTTTCGAAGCTTCGTGCTTGTTAATGCGAAACATTTTATATTTTTGTCATTACTTTTAGAACGTGTGCGTATATATACGCGGTAGTGTAGTTGGTTGAAGCACTATGCTACAAACCGGACGTCGCGGATCGAATCCCGATGAGGTGAATTTCAATTTCTCTAATCCTTTCAGCCGCACTATAGCCCTGGGGCAGACCCAGCCTCTAACGGAAATCGCGTAAGTCTGAGAACCTTACCGCCATCTGTGAGCAGGCTGTCTAGAAGATGTGAAAGCCTTAACAAATTCTCCTTCTACACGGACACACACACACACACACACACACACGAGCGCGCACACGAGCACACGCGCACTTCGATCTGCAAAGGAAATTTTCAGTACTTCATTCGTAAAGTTTTACAGATTTAAATCGGTTCATAATATAAACTCAAAAGCACTTTCAAAACCAATTTTAATAATATGCCGAACGCTGACGTTATATTATTTTTCATAACTTGAAATACAGTGTCTAGCCATTACTTAGATCATGCGCACGATTTGAACATTACATATTTTTTTGGAATTTTTATTCTTTGAATTCTTATAATTTAATTTTAGTTTATGTAGTATATGACAGAAACTTCGTAATTCACCGGACTGTAGAAATTACCTAAGGTATTCATGTAGTCTACTTTAGGAATATACCGCTTTATTATTTTGTGCAACAGACATTCATTTTCTAAACCAGATTTGCTGTATTGCTTTACGAATTATCACTATGATTTATGTGTTCATCAATTCGAGTTTGCTTCCTACCGAGTAAACACGCTTCGGCGTCGCACAACATAGTTTTTGCAGCTACTGTTTTCAGCCACTCATTTCTGTCCTGGTTGTACAGGACTCAAAAACTGTCTCTGCTGCTGTGCTGGCAGAATTAGCGTCCAAGTCTACAGGGTAGTATAATGCTCTTCAGTTATGGCTTGTATTTCCTGTTTTCAGCGCTTATAATATTTTGAAATAACCGATTTGGAATAAACAAATGTACGCAACTTTATGCAGGAGAATTATAAACGTAGCTCTTATCTTACAACAAAAAGTCAACAACTTTGCCGTATGGCCAGTACTGTGAATACAAGTTTGGTAAGTGGGGCGTTTTTTTGGCGTAAATAATTTTTTACTAAATATTTTATATTAGCGATTGAATCGCTTGTGTGGAAATTATAGAAAATGTTTAAGAACCTTAGGATTAACACTCTGATCAGTGACTGAAATGTGAGGTTTGACGTCCCCACGACTGTGAAGATTAATATTTCCTTTTGTGTTATAAATTGGTGTAGTCTGGTAGTTTGATACCAGCTTTTGGGGTAACTTACTGCCTCCAAAATAAAATAAAAAGTTATGGAGTATGCTCTTCCAAAACGTTTGTATCCACATACCAGATAGCACGGTGCCATAAGCCAGAAGACCGCAATATCAACAATTAAATTTGTTTGCACATTGTCAGGACTGTGATGTACGCTTTCCCTAGCTTCATTTCTCTTTCTCTCTACTTCTGCCTCAAATAGAGGTTTAAAGGACGAGGGATCTCACTACAGTGGAATCCTTACAGCTTTGTGTACATAAGCAATAATTTAACAATGAATATCCTTTCTTTGTTTAAAACGGTTATTACTGGACAAGTTGCCCCAAAGTGTCTGTCTGTATTTTTTATGGGTTAGTGCTGAGCCCATTTAACGAAGCCATTCTTGTGTATACCTTATAGAATGTCGAATGAGGTAAAAGATAAAGTTATCGTTGGGCTTAATTAATTAAGCACCACGCCACGAATTTGTATGCGAGAATGGAGGTAGAACTCCAACATTCTTGACCTAGGTACCTGATGATGAGCGTTGAGCTTCACGCCTCTGCTGCTTTAGCCTCAACGAAACAGCCCATAGTATCCATTGTATAGGAGGGTGGAAGGCAGAAAACAGAAAAGCTTTTGCCTCTAGAGAGAACCGAACCCCGATTCCTCACCCGTCCATCCCGTAATCTGTTCGCTATACGAATCGAATTATCAAGAAAGTAATATATGTTGAGAAGATAATGACTGGTCTTTTTTGAATAAATTTCTGGCTTGAGGTTGAAGATCTTAAGAAAATATCAGTCCTTAAAATTGGTCGGTCTCTGTCTTTGTATCGTTGTAATTAATTAGAAATTAATGGATTTTATTCTGGATTGACTGAGATTTAATACATTTAACGTCGTGAAATCTTACCTGATGCGCTGGTACAGCTCTCCTCACGGTACGTGTATCATTAGTTGCACTTCGCAACCTGAAGTTCACCTGCGTAAAGTGATTTATCGTGCCTCTCTGTGGGCTCTGAGACCGGAAAGTAGAGTACGTCCTGAACTATTCCAACTCCAATGTTTCGAAACGTTACGGAGACTTTAGTAATTAATACTGTTTAAAAAGGAGTTGACGCAGGTGTTTAATTTCAGCTCAACACAATTTCCTTAAACAAATTTAATTTCGGAAACTTGAGTACAACATAACATGTATTCAAGTCAGGACGAAATACAAAGTCCTTTGCAATCATTTTTTTTCTTTCTCACCAATCACATTTATTTTTCTCATGCTGTGAGACTGACTCTACTTGGTACTGAGGCCACTGTTTGGACTATAGTACCACCCGAAAATGATAGATGACGGTGATTGTGGAGCAATCAGAAAAATGCGAATTGGCAGGGAAAACCGATGTACTCGGAGGAAACCTGCCCCAATGCCAGTTTGTTCAGCACAAATCCCACATGACCTGGCCCTGGCTGGAACCCGGGCTGCCGAGGTGGGAAGCCGGCGACTAACCGCCAGAGACCGATCACATTAATAGACACTTTTCGTTGAAGCCGCTGGACCGAGCGAATTTCCCTAGCAGCGATACTCAATGCTCGTAAGCGGAAGATGGTTAGAATCTCTGCCTGCTCACTGGCTTAACTAATTGAGATTTTCGGTGATATCCGCAGTCTCTTCAGGCAAATTCAGGGATTACATCACGACCGCTTCCTTCAAGATCCTATATACTGACAGTATCCTACCTTAACTCACAAAAAAGTTAATTAAATTTCATTCAGGACTTATCGAGAAGAAACTGTGTCCTTTCATAAGAATTTTCGAGTTTCGAAAAGACGCAAGGTGCTTCCTCTCTGACCTCAACGATTCATATTAAATGGTGTTACATTTAGGGTATCTCTATCTATCTATGGCTCTACAGCCCTTTGTTGTGTCTTGGCCGCTTTTCAGATTTTTAATCCTAGAGAATCATCCCGTTGCAAGGTCTCTACCTATATATAGAACAACACAGACACAGAATAAATGCATACAGACATCCTTGCCTAGAATTGGATTTGAACCCACGATCCCAGTGTTCGAGTGGGCTAAGACTGTTCATGCTTTAGACCGCGCGGTCATTATGATCGGCTAGAGTATCTCCAGTATTCTCCAAAACATGAGATATAAAAATGTATGTTACTCCTTAGAGTTAGTCATAGTTTTAGAAATCTAATCTCCAGTTTTATGAAGCAACCAGGCTGAAAGCATGAACAGTCTTCACACGATATATGCAGCTATCAACAGCTAAGCGGCGTGTCCCACCGGCCGGTAACGACCCTAACGACTTAAAAGTAAACCAAATTTGTGCGGATAATTTCAGACTTATTAACTTTTTATTTATGTTTTTCTTACTTAATGTACCTTCTTTTCTCTCTGTTTCAGGTGTATTTGAAGATGGCTGATACTGTCTTCGAATACCTGGTGCGCATTCGTCGAAGATCAAACAAAGAAGAGAACGAATATAAATATATATGCCACATGGAATAAAAATTACATTGTTTGAAGACAAGGCAACGAGTGTGTGGTATTGTTACTGCAACAATATACGGCACAGATCAAATCTACAGATATAGAAAGCGAAGGATGTGGAATGAAAAGAATATTAACATCTCTTAAGTTCGTGACACTTTGGCTAGATACAGGCATTTCTTTTTCGGGACGGTTGATAACATTGTTTCTAATTAACGGAAGTGAGTGTCTAAAACATGAAGTTAAGGAGACGGAAACAGTCTTGGTTCAACATTTTTGGTGATATTCCATTTTCAGTGTCATCACCAAGATATATATTATGTGGGTTTGTTAATCTTCAATGAAGAAGATATTTTTGAAAAAAGTATCTTCCATAGTGATTTGGGGGCAGTGAGGCTAGTATGTGGCGGATGTTGCTACGCGTGTGTCTGTTCGTTTTCTCTTTTTCCGGCATTTTGGAGGCAATGCCTCAGCATCAGCAACCCAAACACAGCCCAGTGAAATGCGGAGGTGACATCAGCAGTGACAGAGGTGTGATACAGACACCCGGGTTCCCTGGGCCATTCCCAGTACCAATCAGATGTCAGTGGGTCATAGACACAGCAGATCGCGTTCCTGCAAATAATTACTCGATCGTCATTTATCTAACGCAACTTTACGTAACAACGGGCTTAACTTTTACCGAATTTGCTTATTATGAAAAGGGAGCAACTCCGATAGGGAAACAACTTGTGCACACGGTGACAGAGCACAACGTGACTCTGGTGCACTGGCTGTGGACTCGAAGCCCGTACCTCGTTATAGACTTCACGCTGGACCGTCTGGAGGGGAACCACCTGAGGGTTATGGATAATCTGCTTGATGTATATGGATTCAACATTACGTACGAGATCAGCGGAAGGGAGAACCCCGTGCGTCCCAATTCGTGCAATGCCATCCTCTGTTCCTTCCTGGGAAACTGCTATGCCAACAGGGACTTCACGTAAGTAATCCAGAAATTCTGAGCTTAAATAAGTAATTCTACTTTATGTTGTCTGTACTGAATCTGTCCGCCGATTTGTTAAAGATGAAGCCTGAAGTAAAATTCAAAATGCTTAAAGGTAATAAATATGGAATACATATTAGAAAACATTTCTGAAAGGACAGAAATTAAAATTACAAAATCTATACGAGATCTGAGGTTCTCATAGCGGTCGCTGTAAAAAATACTGTCTGCTGGGATTTATCGATGTTTCGGAATAATATGTTGCCTTCATCTTCAGGGTCGAAGATTATCTGCTTGCATTTTGCCCGTGTAGACCTATAGGGTTGTGGGACGTCAAGGCTCTCACATTTTCTAGATAATCAGTTCAGATGGAGGTGATGTTGTCAGCCTTACGCATCATGTTGCAGGGATAGCTTCACTTACTTTTTGTTTGGATTACTCTTCGACCATGAAAATTGAGGCATTATGTTCTTCCGAAACGTCGATAAATTTTGTGCCAGACTACACTGCATCAGATCTAGAGAGATCCTTTTTCGCCAATTTACCTCCTCGTTTGGTAAAGGTATTAATAATATGATTGAAAATTTGACGTATTGACGTATCCCACATGTCATTAAGTAAATTGATTTTCATGCCATTCGTTCGTGGCTTGCATTTGTTTTAAAACAAAAGTCGCGTTCTAGCTCGTTCGAGCTAAACATTCGAAACCATGTAGTATATTCTGTAGGCAAATATTCCTCGAAGCAATATAGCCATCCAGAAGCAAATTGAACTAAAATTAGAACCTATGCCACGTGTCATCCTGTTAATATTGTTAATCTTGTATTCGCTGATATGTTGTTCCTGCCGTTGTTGCTGCTGCTACTGCCGCCACCGCCACCGCCACCGCCACCGCCACCGCCACCGCCAAGTTCACACGTCGTGTTAACAAAATTTTCTTAAAAGTGCTTTCTTGTTTTATATTTACGTAGGTCCGTCATTAGTAACTTTTGCAATAACGCAAACGAGACGATTTGGTATGGTTTCATATTTTTTTTCCTTGGCACTACAACCCCAGTGGGCCTAGGCCTTCCTCCATGAACTTCTCCGTTCACTTCGGTTTTTCTAGATCTTAGACATACGGTAGGACTCCTTGGGCGGGTGATCAGCTCGTCGCAAGGCCTCTACCTGTACACAAACACAGAAAAACGCACACAAACATCCATGCCCTGAGTGGGATTCGAACCCACGATCCAGGCTTCCGAGCGAGCGAAGACAGTGCACGCCTTAGACCGCTCGGCTACCGTGACCGGCATGGCTTCTTATTAGACCATACTATTTCCTTCCTCAACCCCTGATGTCAGTATTGCACAGTAAGTTAACATGCTAATGTCGATAGCGCTGTTACTGCAGTTTTTTTTTCCTGAGAAAGGTAATCAGTTTTTATTTAGTTAATCTTTAAGAGACGATACCCGTGTTGAAAGCTCGAAACATAACTATGTCAGCTGCATAAAAATATATTAAATCAAATTGTGTGAAGTTATACCACCCACATGACACAGGGACTATGAAGGCAGCATCTGTTAAAAGTACCAGTGACGCGCCTTTGGAACGTAAATGGCTGATTGTGTAATGCGACTGAAACGCCGTAGTCGGTAAGATAAGGTAATCTACAATTATTTGCCCTCAGATTTTGACATGACAACTAAAGTATTAAAAGTTTCAGTGGCGCTACTTTGTCACGGAATTTTTCTCTGTATACAGGATGAGCACAAAGTTATCTTTACCGGAAGTTTATTTTGAAGCAATCATGCAAGATGCAAAATCCGAATATCGAGACATTACACCACAACTGTCAAAGTTTATTTTCCCATTTAGGGATGTCTCGATTGTGTGCTATTGGTAAATCTCTACGCGTCAAGTTTGAATTCCAGGTTCAATCATTATAATATGTCGCAAACGGAACTCTACACAAACGACGGATCTCGCAGAAATTTTTGCAATATTCATAAATGGATTAATCAGAAGGTGGATGCACTACAAATTCTGTCCTAGAGCGTCGATACAGTCGTGTGACATATTTTGATTTTATTAAACAACACTTTGCCCTATTTGCAGAGGCGTCGTCATTTTTTTTTTTGAGTGCAGTGCCTCTGGCGGAAAATCATTGCAACTGCATGTGCACGCTTTGATTAAAACTTTTCTAGTTATAATCTTATATATGGAAGTTCGGATGTAGTATCATACCATATTGTTTCACAATATGATTCCTAATATTTAAACAACTTTTGTGCTCACCCTGCGTAATGTGATTAAAATATAATAATTTTAGAAGGTAATCCAAGATTGTAAGATTTGAGGCTTTCACGGCGGTGACTATGAAGAAAGCAGTCTTCTGGGATTTGGCACCGTGTATATGTGGTGCTAACCGACGTTTCGGAGGAACGTATCGCCTCCATCTTCAGGGTAGAAGAAAAAATATGAGAAATCTGCAAGCGAAGAGACCGTGAGAACCGGCAAAAGCAGACTGCTACACGGTGCCAAATCCCAGAAGACTGCTTTCTTCATAATCCAAGATTGTCTCCTGTTTGGTTTTATGAGGTGACCACGAGAATAATGAAAACAGAAACATTTTCAGATCAACTGAATTACGATTTCGAGGTGTGTAATCATTTATAGCTTATTTTAAAAGAGAGCCTAGCAACTAAGTGATTGTGTTGATGAGTTTACTTTCCATGCGCCTACATTCTCAGCGTGGCCGCTTACCGAACTCTATGGAAGTCGATTAAAGACTCGTGACCATAGCGTGAAGCTGTGAGCTCTAAATCCGTGCCGTCAAGGAGACCAATATGGCAGTCTTGGGAATGTTGGAGATGGTACTATAGCTAGGCCCTGCAAGTTTACAAGGATATGAAGTTACTTATGAGTAGCTATTTTTATGATAGCAGGAAAATGGCTGCAGCTCCAAGTTTGTGTGTTTCTTTCTCAAAACTCCAGTCTACAGGAAGCAAAGTTCTCATTCTATTCTTCGGTCTGCCGGTTCTCAACTTTCGTAATGGAGAGAGTGCAGAATGGAGGAGTGGGAAGGCAGTTTGTGTTTCATTGTTATATTCTTCATCTCCGTGCTGGGTTCGGTTATGGAGTATCTGTGGTCGTAAACTTGTGCGAACTTCAAGGTTTATTTGAGGTAAAGAGCCTCGACCGAGTTTGTGTATTCTGAACTGCAATCTATCTGTCTGTCTGTCTGTCTATCTATCTATCTATCTATCTATCTATCTATCTATCTAAGCGGCCTTCGTAGTCTAGGGGTAACGTTCCCACCTCATGACTCAAGGTACGCGGGTTAAAACCCG